TTGCCTTCCTCCTGCTACCCGTGCTGGGAGCGCCCGCGCCGGGAGGCGTTGCGGTATCGCAGCTGGACGCGACTGTCTCAAAGTAACTAGGCAAGAATGAATGAACTAGCAGAAGTTTGGGTACAAATATGAAACCCTAGTTGGGGTTGTACCCCATATTGGCTACCCCACTACAGCCTACAAGCATAATACAGTTTAACACACCCCCATAGGCAAAGTGGGGGAGAACAAAGGGTCACAAGACCAGTCCAGCAAAGCAAAGCAAAACCCAGGGTGGATCACAACGTCACCACACTCCGAGCACAAGTAAAGGCCACAAGGCCAGTTCACATGCAGTGCTAGATATAGTACAAGACAAACAACACAGTGATCAAAACCTAGCAAGCAAGTAACAAGATATATATAAAGTACAGTACAAAGAATGTCAAGCAGTGAGCAAGTGAGGAAACGTGGACACAAGGCCTAAAGAAGTACAGTGCCGCTGATGATCACTAGGCGGGAGCGCCTTGGTGAAGATATCAGCAGTGTTGGCCTTCGAGTCCACGTACACAAGCCGAAGCTGACTGCGCTGCTGAAGCTCTCGAGCAAGAAAGTAGCGAAGAGCAATGTGCTTCGTCCTGTGCTCCAGTCTGTGCTCCTGACACAAGGCAAGAGCCGCCTTGTTGTCACCGTACAGAACTGGAGGAGAACTAGGCCGCTCTCCCAAGTCAGTCAGCAGGTAGGTGAGCCAGCGTAACTCCTGTGCAGCCATGGCTGTGGCGTAGATCTCAGCCTCACAACTAGAGCCGAGAACAGAGGAAGAGCGGGTGGACCGCCACGAGACAGAACCAGAGCCAAGGCTGAAGGTGTAACCCTGTGACGACCGCTGCGTAGCCAGGTCGTCCACCCAAGAAGCGTCCGAGTGGCCAGTGAGGACAACTCTGTCGCGTCCTCCAAGCACCAGCCCCATGCCTGATGTACTGCACAAGTAGCGCAGCACCCTCTTAGCAGCCTCCCAGTGCTCTCGCCTGTGTCTCCCAGGCGCAACGTAACGAGCAAGGATGCTAAGAGGGTACGCGAGGTCAGGTCGCGTGCAAGTCATCAGGTACATGAGGCAGCCCACAAGCTCTGGGTACGGGCCACTCGGCTCTACGGACTCGTCCGGAGGTGGAGCTGAGAGCGAGTGGCTGGTAGCCAGAGGTGTGGCCTGTGGTGAGGAGAACTGGAAGCCGAAGCGCTGAAGGACCTGCTGCACCATGTGTGACTGAGTCAGGGTGATGGTGCGGCGAGCTCTGTCCCGGGTGATCTGCAAGCCAAGGTAGCTACGCAGCTCACCCAGGTCAGTGCAGGTGTGTCTCTTCTGCAGCTCCGACTTCACACGAGCGAGTGCCTCAGTGTCAGCAGTAGCAAAGACCAAGTCGTCGACGTACACGAGAATGTAGAACGGCGGCAGCGACGTGTCTGTGCGCAGAAACAGCGACGGGTCAGCAGTAGACGGCGCGAACCCAAGAGCCGCAAGTGTAGTCCTCAGTGTGTCGTGCCACTCGCGTGGCGCCTGGCGGAGACCGTAGACTGGCCGACGGAGGCTCCACTGGGTACCAGGAGGAAACGACCCAGTAAAGCCAGGTGGGCGGCGCAGCCAGATCTCCTCGTGCAGGCTGCCCTGCAGGAACGCTGTGCTGAAGTCAAGTGAGTGAAGCTCGTAGTCACGCTGAGCAGCAACGTGCAGCAGAACCCGAAGAGTGGTCATCTTCGGGGTGGGGGAGAAGGTCTGGAAGAAGTCGACCCCCTGACGCTGACTGAAGCCTCTAGCAACGTAACGAGCCTTGAAGACAGGCGGAGAACCTGGCGGCCGCTTCACCCTGAAAATCCACATGCCATCGACGATGTTCGCCCCAGGAGGGGGAACCTCGTCGACGTAGGTGCCTGTGGACTTCCAGGATGCCATCTCTGCGTCCATGGCTGTCTACCACTGAGAGGAGTAGGGACCCGAGATCGCCTCTGCGTAAGTGCGCGGAGTGGGGATGTCTAGTGCATCCGGGTCTCCCTCAGGGGCAAGCAACCAGGCCACGAGATGAGGTACAGCAGCCGCGAGAGAGTCAAAGTCCTCCTGCCTGTCCTCAAGGACGTCCGTGCCAAGAGGACACTCACCCCCGACGGACGGAGGACAGACAGACGCAGACTCAGACCCAGCAACAAGGCGAGCAGCGTAGTCTAGACGACAGGCAGCAGCAAAGTCAACCAACTCAGCGACCAGAGCAGACGCAGCCGAGGACTCAAAGGTGGGGTCAGTGACAACAGTAGCTAGGAGACGCGTGACAGTAGGGTGCTCAGCACGATACCGGTCAGACTCAGGGTCCGGAACAGCAGGCAAAGAGGACGCAGGAGGAGACGGCAGAGGGACACGCTGAGGAGCAGTAGAGGGACGCAGAGTCATGTAGTGAGTGCCTGGGACAGGAGGAGGACGCTCACGACGGACACGACGACCAGTGCGAGCAGTACGGACAGGCGACGCAGGACGAGACTCAGGCTCACGACGCTCTGTAAGACCTCCTGTGGGACCAGTGTAAGGAGAGGGAGCAGGGAGAGGCGAGGCAGGCGGTAACTGTGACTACGGCTGGACAGTCGGAGGACACTCTACGGAGGGAGGAGGACAAGGAGGAGGAGCCTGCCCAAGAACCTGCTGAAGGAGCGGTACGAAGTACGGCCGCGGCCGCGCAGCGTCTCCAGAAGCAGAAGAGACTCCAGCGTCCGGGTCCCCAGCACCAGCAGCAGCGCCACCGCTCGGGTCCTCAGCTCCAGCAGTAGCTCCACCAGGTGGGTCCGCAGCACCAGCAGCAGCACCACCCCCAGGGTCCGCAGCACCGCAAGGAAGAGCACCCCCAGAGTCGGCAGCTACAACTCCGCTAGCGCCGCCAGCTCCAGAGTCCCCAGCTCCAGCAGCTCCAGTCGTAGTGCTCCCAGAACAACCAGTCCCGGCAGCTCCAGTACCCCCAGCTCCAGCCGAGCCACTAGGACGGCGAAAGCGCCGGACGTACCAGTCACGAAGCTGCTGTGGTGTGAGAGACTGCTCAGCACCCCGAACCGGAGCACCCCCAGACGCAGCAACCCGAGGCTCCGTAGGCTCAGTAGCAGCACCCCCAGGCTCAGTACCCGCAGGCGCAGCACCCCCAGACCCAGCACCCCCAGACTCCGCACACGCCGGCTCAGCACCCCCAGTCGCAGCACCCCCAGGCTCAGCACCCCCAGGCGCCGAACTCTCAGGCACAGTACCCTCAGCTCCAGCACCCGTAGTCCCAGCACTCCCAGGCCCAGCACCCGCAGGCTCAGCACCCCCAGGCTCAGCACTCCCAGCAGTACCACCTGCAGCAGCACCTGAGTCACCTGTGACCTCGACAGGCTCAGCGACGGGAGGAGGGTCTACCTGAGAGACACCTGAAGGAGCAGGACCCTGAGGGGGAAGGGGGTCTACCGGAGGGGGACCAGGAGCAAGGAAAAGCGGCGGGGGAGGGAGGGGGGCAGTGCGGTAGGGGAAGAGACGGTAAAAAGGGACCGACTCGTCAAAGGTGACGTCCTGAGAGGCGAAGACCCGGCGCGAGGTGGGGTGGTAAAACTGCCAGCCAGGCGCGTCAGGGACAAAGCCAAGGAAGACACAGGGAAGCGTGCGGGAGGAGAGCTTGTCCGCGGACGTATCGCGGACAAGGGCACGAGCACCCCACACCCGGAAGCGCGACGCATCGCCAACCTCCCCCGTCCAACGCAGTGTGGGCGAGGTCTCCGGCAAGGAGACACGGGGCCAGAGGTTGAGCTGATGCGCGGCGTACCGGACAGCAAACGGCCACAGAAAATGGGGAGCCGCCGCGTGGACCAAGGAGGTACGAGCGACCTCCATGACCAGGCCAATGCGGCGCTCAGCAACCCCATTCTGCTGTGGGGAGTCCGGAAGCGTGAAGGTCTGCTCGATGCCCTCCGCCTGACAGAAGGTCCTCAAGAGATCGGAGGAAAACTCACCACCTCTGTCAGAGTGCAGACGCAGGACAGGAAGATCCGTCCGGAAACGGCGGCGGAGCTGGAGACGAACTGTGCGGATCCAAGGGATCAGAACAGCAGGGACCTCACCCTTGGTGCGCAAGGGGAAGACCGTGGTGTAACGCGAGTAGTCGTCGACAACCAGTAAAAAGTACCGCTCACCGCCCTGGCCACGAACGCGGGCTGGGCCCCACACGTCCAGGTGGAGGGTCTGCAGAGGAGCCTCTGTCGGGGGGAACGAGGAGGAGTGAGGAGCGGCGCGCTGCCGCCCCTCGACGCAAGGAAGGCAAGGCGGCGCAGGCGAGGCAGGGAGGGGAGGGAGGGACCTGGGAAGACCAGACACAAGGCGGCGACGGTGCATGCCACGGAGGCGTGGCAAGGAGGGGTGACCCAGGCGGTGGTGCCAGAGAAGAGTCTGGTGCGACAGGGAACGACACTCACAGGCGTGGGCCACCAGACCTGACGCGGACACCTGACCGACAGCAGCGACCTGAGGAGACGCAGTGGTCAGTGTGTAGAGACTCGACCCCGGCCGACGGGTAAACGTAGCCAGGTGACGGCCGGTCCTGGAGCACGTGCAGATCGCCACACGCTGTCCTCCAGGGGTAAAGGTGTCAACCCACTGATCCTGGATGACAGCGTTGCTCACCAGGTTCGTCGAGAACGAGGGGAGGTGGAAACCCGACAACGAGCCAGACGGAACCGCCGGACAAGGGAGCACAGTGGTGGACTGGGCAAGGACTGGGCCCCCAGAGGGGTCAGCCAAGGAGACTGGGACCGGTGCAGGAAGCGGTGTGAGCTCAGTACTGTCACGAAAGAAACAGCGGGAAGCACCTGAGTCAAGGGTGAAGGTGTGACAGGCCTCAGCCGGTGCAGTACCTGAGAGAGCAGTCTCTGTGGGTGCTGTACCTGAGAGAGCAGACTCGCAAACAGCCGGGACAGCACTGGAGGGAGCAAGTACAGGGGGCACCATACCAGAGAGAGCAGACTCACTAGTACCCAAGGCAGCGGGCTCTATACCTGGGTCAGGCGGCACACACAAGTAACAGTCTCCCTCGGCACTAACAGTCAATGCATACATGGCAGCAATAATAGCATCATAGTCAAGAGCAAAGATATCAACACCAGCCCTCATGAGCTCAGCCCAGCGGGGGCGCTCAACATCCTCGCCCATCTCCTCACGCCAAGCGTCGTCAAGGCGGGAGAAGCAGCGGTACGGGGTGTGGAACCTCCCACACGTCTGTCCCTTGCGGTCACCTGTGCGAATGACATAGGAACAGCGGCCACTGCCCCCCGACGTCCCACGCTGAGCAAGCCACTCACGAAGCTGCTGGGTCGTCTGGGGACGCTGCTGCTGCTGGGAGCTCTGGCCCGAGCCGGTGCCTCCACTCCGACCTCCACCGCCGCCACTACCTCCGCTCCGACCGCCACCACCGCCACCGCCACCGCCACTACCGCCACCGCCGCCACTGCCGCCGCTGCCACCACCGCCACTGCTCCCGCCGCCGCCCCCGCCTCCGCCGCCGGCCCCACTCCCACCGGCACTCCCGCCACCGCTCCCTCCAGCACCGCCTCCCCCCCCACCTCCCCCACCCCCTCCCCCCCCAGCGCCACCCCCGCCACCCTTGCCCCCCTTGCCCTTGCCGGTGCGGCGCCTCCCACCAGGAGCAGAAGCAGCGCCAGCAGACTCAGCACCAAGGAAGTCAACAGCAGCAGCAGTAGCATAGGAGGGAGCGAGGGGAGAGGGAGAGCACCCCTCAAAGATGGGGGTGCGAGGAGCGCCGCGAGCAGCACCAACAGCCACAATGCTCTTCTCGGCTGCTAGCAGCTTCTCCTCTAGGAGGGCGACAGTGAGCTCAGTGGGACAGCGAGCAAGGAAATAGTCGCGCACTGAGCTGAGGGTGTCAGGGAGACGGGTGACTATGAAGTGGAGTGCCCAGTACAGGGGAGGGGGGTTCTTAGCGCAGAACTCGGTGGGAAGGGCGGCACGCAGGCGAGCATCACTAGTGCGAAGGTGGGTGATAAGATCGGCGACTGTAGCAAAGGTGGACAGGTCAGGGAACAGGTAAGGCAGCATGAGACGGCTAAGCTCGGCTGTGGCAGGTGAGGAGTAGCGAGCAACGACAGCGTCATATAGGGCTTTAGCGGTTTTGCAGTCGCCAAAGTGCTCTAGCTCAGCTAACGGCAGGTGACTGCGAATAGCCAGGCGAGCTGCAGCGTCACGAGTCTGCCACTGTGAACGTACACTAAGCTCGGCTGTGGCAGCAGGAGCAGCGGCAGCACCAGACGCGTAGTCATAGAGGGAGATGTGGTCCGTGCTATTGCTCATAAGATACAACTGCAGGTCATCGAGCCAGGAAGTGAACTGCACGGGACGGCCCTCAGCATCGAAGGAAAGAACGCGAATAGAGGCCATAGCTCAGGCGTGAGGGCACAGCAGAGCAGCGGCAGCAGCAGAGGGGACGCGCTAGAGCGAAGCTAGCAGCCACAGCAGGAGCAAGCGGCGGTGCACAGTCAGGGAGCAGCAGGCGAGGCGGGCGGCGCTGCAGGCGGGAAGTGCGGCGGGCGGGCTGCGAAGCGGGCAGCGGGGCGGGCGGGCGACGCGGCGAGCGGGCAGCGCGGCGGGCGGCTGCGAAGCGGGCAGCGGGCGGGCGGGCGACGCTGCAAGCGGGCAGCGGGCGGGCGGGCGACGCTGCAAGCGGGCAGCGAGGCGGGAGGGCGACGTTGCGAGCGGGCAGCGGGCGGGCGGGCGACGCTGCGAGCGGGCAGCGAGCGAGCGGGCGACGCTGCGAAGCGGGCAGCGGGCGGGCGGGCGACGCTGCGAAGCAGGTAGCGGGCGGGCGGGCGGCGCTGCGAGCGGGCAGCGAAGCGGGCGGGCCGCGAAGCGGGCAGCGAGCGGGCGGGCGGGCCGCGAAGCGGGCAGCGGGGCGAGCGGGCTGCGAAGCGGGCGGGCCGCGAAGCGAGCAGCGAGCGGGCGGGCGGGCCGCGAAGCGGGCAGCGGGGCGAGCGGGCTGCGAAGCGGGCAGCGGGGCGAGCGGGCGACGCTGCGAGCAGGCAGCGCGGCGGGCGGGCGACTCTGCGAGGGGCGCGCGAGGGCGCTAGCGAGGGGCGCGCGAGGGCGCTAGCAAGGGGCGCGCGAGGGCGCTAACGAGGGGCGCGCGAGGGCGCTAACGAGGGTGCGCGCGAGGGCGCTAACGAGGGGCGCGCGAGGGCGCTAACGAGGGCGCACGAGGGCGCTACGAGGCTAGGGCACGGGGTAGCGTGGTAACCGCATGCGAGCGGTGGTGGGCCCTTAAAAAAAACGGTCGGTAGGTCCTAGGGACCTCCTGCTCTGAATACCATCTCAAAGTAACTAGGCAAGAATGAATGAACTAGCAGAAGTTTGGGTACAAATATGAAACCCTAGTTGGGGTTGTACCCCATATTGGCTACCCCACTACAACCTACAAGCATAATACAGTTTAACAGACTGTCCAGGATCTGACTGGACACCTCCGCGATGGTGGCGCCGTTGAAGCTCTTGGCGCGACCGCGTTAGTGGTCCGCCAGATGTGGAGGACCATGCGAGGGATCCTCGCGGCACTAGACGCCCACTTAATGTAGGTTGTGGCGCCCGCCGCACGTAGACGTGCTGCATCTTGTTTGTCTAGTTGTTTCTCGTGTAGTCCTCCTCCATTTGGCTTGTGAGTTGTTTGTTTCTTTTCCAGAGTTGTTGCTTGTCACCCGAGAGCACGCGGCCGAAGGCCGCACACGCGAGCGCTGGCGGCCGCAGGCCGCCGGCGCGAGCGCCCAAGAAAAACTGGCACCAAACGAACTAATGGCAGAGAAATGACCCCAAGGGCCCTATATATAGCTAGAGGGCAGAGGCAGAGGCTAGAGGCAGAGGCTAAGTCCTCTCTCTCTCTCTCGCTCTCTCCACGCCCAAGAAAAACTGGCACCAAACGAACTAATGGCAGAGAAATGACCCCAAGGGCCCTATATATAGCTAGAGGGCAGAGGCAGAGGCTAGAGGCAGAGGCTAAGTCTCTCTCTCTCTCTCTCTCTCTCTCTCTCTCTCTCTCTCTCTCTCTCTCTCTCTCTCTCTCTCTCTCTCTCTCTCTCTCTCTCATTGTTATCTCACTTTCAGCTTCTAGGCAAAGGTTCCGCGAAAGCAGCAGGGGGGGCGACGGGGGCGGCGGGCGGGGCGCGGGGGGTGGCCGCCGAGGTGGTGCGGGAGAACGGCGTGAAGGGGCTCTCTACAGGCGTCTCTACGACCATGATGCGACAGGTGGGCGACGTGCGACAGGTGCTCGACAGGTGCTCGACAGGTGAGCGCCAGGTCAGCAACGTTGCGGCAGACCAGCTTGAAAACGGCGTGGTGAAAACAGTTGAAGGATCAAATGAAATCCAAAGAACGAAGGGGGCGTGGGCCCATTGTGTACCATGCCATGGCTGTCACTGCTGGCCAGGTGTGCACACAATGGCAGCATTCACAGCAGCAATCTTCGCCTCGAACCCCTCTGATGCGTTGTGACGTTGAATCTGTGTTGTTGCGCTCTTGCGCGACACTTTCCCTCCCTCTGCCCCTCCCTCCCTCCAGCTTGCAACGTACAGGCTAAAGAGAGCCATATCGCGGGAGGCTACATGAAATTAGGCCTCGGCGCGCACACGGTGGCGACTTTCACAGCAGCTATCGTTACATCTCCCTCCCTCTGTCCTACCCCTCCATATCACCAGCTTGCAACGTACGATCAGGCTAAAGAGAGCCTCATAGCAGGAGGCTACATGAAAGGAGGCCTAGGCGCACACACAGTGGCAGCATTCACAGCAGCCATCTTCACATCACTCACCTCCAACCCCTTTGACATGGTGAAGACGCGCCTCACAGCCCCCCCAAAAAGCGTCGACTCGCGTCGACTCCCCTCACAGCCCCCCAAAAAAGCGTCGACTCGCGTCGACTCCCCTCACAGCCCCCCCAAAAAGCGTCGACTCGCGTCGACTCCCCTCACAGCCCCCCCAAAAAGCGTCGACTCGCGTCGACTCCCCTCACAGCCCCCCAAAAAAGCGTCGACTCGCGTCGACTCCCCTCACAGCCCCCCCAAAAAAGCGTCGACTCGCGTCGACTCCCCTCACAGCCCCCCAAAAAGCGTCGACTCGCGTCGACTCCCTCACACCCCCCCCAAAAAGCGTCGAATCCTCTCACAGCCCCCCCAAAAAGCGTCGACTCGCGTCGACTCCCCTTACACCCCCAACAAAAAGCGTCGAATCCTCTCACAGCCCCCCCAAGAAGCGTCGCCTCGCGTCGACACCCCTCACACCCGCCCAAAAAAGCGTCGACTCGCGTCGACCCCCCTCACAGCCCCCCCAAAAAGCGTCGACTCGCGTCGAATCCCCTCACAGCCCCCCCAAAAAGCGTCGACTCGCGTCGACTACCCTCATAGCCCCCCCAAAAAGCGTCGACTCGCGTCGACTCCCCTCACAGCCCCCCCAAAACGCGTCGACCCGCGTCGACTCCCCTCACAGCCCCACCAAAAAGCGTCGACCCACGTCGACTCCCCTCACAGCCCCCCCAAAAAGCGTCGACTCGCATCGACTACCCTCATAGCCCCCCCAAAAAGCGTCGACTCGCGTCGACTCCCCTCAAAGCCCCCCCAAAAAGCGTCGATTCGCGTCGACTCCCCTCACAGCCCCCCCAAAAAGCGTCGATTCGCCTCGACTCCCCTCACAGCCCCCCCAAAAAGCGTCGACTCGCGTCGACTCCCCTCACAGCCCCCCCAAAAAGCGTCGCCTCGCGTCGACTCCCCTCACAGCCCCCCCAAAAAGCGTCGACTCGCATCGACTCTCCTCACAGCCCCCCCAAAAAAGCGTCGACTCGCGTCGAATCCCCTCACAGCCCCCCCAAAAAGCGTCGACTCGCGTCGACTCCCCTCACAGACCCCCCAAAAAGCGTCGCCTCGCGTCAACTCCCCTCACAGCCCCCTCAAAACGCGTCGACCCGCGTCGACTCTCCTCACAGCCCCCCCAAAAAGCGTCGACTCGCGTCGACTCCCCTCAGAGTCCCTTCAAAAAGCGTCGACTCGCGTTGACTACCCTCACAGCCCCCCCAAAAAGCGTCGACTCGTGTCGACTCCCCTAGCAGCCCCCCCAAAAAGCGTCGCCTCGCGTCGACTCCCCTCACACCCGCCCAAAAAAGCGTCGGCTCGCATCGACCCCCCTCACAGCCCCCCCAAAAAGCGTCGACTCGCGTCGACTCCCCTCACAGCCCCCCCAAAAAGAGTCGACTCGCGTCGACTCTCCTCACAGCCCCCCCAAAAAGCGTCGACTCGCGTCGACTACCATCATAGCCCCCCCAAAAAGCGTCGACTCGCGTCGACTCCCCTCACAGCCCCCCCAAAACGCGTCGACCCGCGTCGACTCCCCTCACAGCCCCACCAAAAAGCGTCGACCCACGTCGACTCCCCTCACAGCCCCCCCAAAAAGCGTCGATTCGCGTCGACTCCCCTCACAGCCCCCCCGAAACGCGTCGACCCGCGTCGACTCCCCTCACAGCCCCACCAAAAAGCGTCGACCCACGTCGACTCCCCTCACAGCCCCCCCAAAAAGCGTCGATTCGCGTCGACTCCCCTCACAGCCCCCCCAAAAAGCGTCGACTCGCGTCGACTACCCTCATAGCCACCCCAAAAAGCGTCGACTCGCGTCGACTCCCCTCACAGCCCCCCCAAAACGCATCGACCCGCGTCGACTCCCCTCACAGCCCCCGCAAAACGCGTCGACTCACGTCGACTCCCCTCACAGTCCCTTCAAAAAGCATCGACTCGCGCCAGCTCCCCTCACAGCCCCCCCAAAAAGCGTCGACTCGCGTCGACTCCCCTTACAGCCTCGCGAAAAAGCGTCGACTCGCGTCCACTCCCCTCACAGCCCCCCCAAAAAGCGTCGACTCGCGTCGACTACCCTCATAGCCCCCCCAAAAAGCGTCGACTCGCGTCGACTCTCCTCACAACCACCCCAAAACGCGTCGACCCGCGTCGACTCTCCTCACAGCCCCCCCAAAACGTGTCGACTCACGTCGACTCCCCTCACAGTCCCCTCAAAAAGCGTCGACTCGCGTCGACTCCCCTCACAGCCCCCCCAAAAAGCGTCGACTCGCGTCGACTACCCTCATACCCCTCCCGAAAAGCGTCGACTCGCGTCGACTCCCCTCACAGCCCCCCCAAAAAGCGTCGACTCGCGTCGACTCCCCTCACAGCCCCCCCAAGAAGCGTCGACACGCGTCGACTCCCCTCACAGCCCCCCAAAAAGCGTCGACTCGCGTCGACTCCCCTTATACCCCCAACAAAAAGCGTCGACTCCCCTCACAGCCCCCCCAAAAAGCGTCGACTCGTGTCGACTCCCCTCACGGCCCCCCCAAAAAGCGTCGCCTCGCGTCGACTCCCCTCA